GATTTTATGCGCTCTCGTGTTTTATTCATGTCTTACACGGTCATGGCCGCGCGCGTCGACAAGATTGGATTTTATTTGGCGAATTGTCTGAGAGAAATTCGACGGTTCGCGAAAGCAGATAGGGTAATCTTCGTGACATCCAGGAGAAATCAAGGTAGTCACTTCCAATATATTCCTCCGGCGCACGGTGATCACTCACACATTCCTGAAATCCTTTCCTCGCATGTGGGTCATGCGGTTCGCTGAATTCCAGCCCGCCAGAATTTCCTACTCGAGTAATCGAGTCGCGCGACTGTGCGGGACGGGAAATGATAATAAAAATTGATATCGCGTCTGCCAACCAGCCTGTCGGCAAGGGAAAAAAAAAGGATCGACATTCTATAGAACGGCAGAACCATTTGTCTCGACAAATTTCAGCACGCGATCTGTCGGCGGTGCATCGATACGCGCAAGATTAAATCTACAACTTTCCGTGTCCCCGGCAAACTATCAGCAATCTAATTACGGAGTATTATCAATAATAATCATCGTTTTCATCGTCCGATTGAAAGTACGCGTGAGATAATGTTATTAACTTGGAAAATGTAATTTGAAAACTTCTCCCACGAAACTTCTTCCTCATCAATCGTAGAAGCGATATCGATTGCAGTTTTCCGCGGCGAAACACTTTTTCGAACGAGAATTCACGTGCGAGAGAAAATTTATCTCACTTGCTCGTTCCCGCGGTATTGTTCGCGAAATCCCGCCGCGTGAGTCTTCGGTGATTAGTTGTTCCGCTAAGGAGAACAAGTGGCCGCCTTCGTATTTTCCGTGCGCGTCGTCGCGTTCGGCGGGGCGGAAATTCCCCTCGCAGTTGGCATGGTAAACCGGCGGTGTACAAGCGGCGGCCAAGTGGGCCAGGAATTTAAGGGCGAATAAAGCTGCTAGACCTGACGGGCTCCGGGGCCGCGTTTTCCCAAGGTATACGTGGCTGGCGTTCGCATCTTGCGCCGCGTAAGATAACGCAAACACTCGTCGGGGAGCCCCGGAACGTTCGTGCCCGCGCGCGGAATCGCAATTTTTGGCAGCGCCGCCGCTCGCGAATAATTCTGCGAGAATCGTTGCCGATTTTCTTCACCGCGCCCTACGCCCTCCACCCGGTCCCCCCCTTTCACGAGGGCTTTGCGCCTCGGCCAAATGCGCCTGATTCCGCATGCAAAACCGCGAATATCGATGTCATGAATTTTCAGCCGGCTCCGAGCGCCGAAGATCATTACGGTCCAACCCATCCGATGCAACGGCATCCTCCCAACGAGGAGATCTACATGCCATTTCGCTCGAAATAACATGTTTTCGGGGCACCTGCAAAATCAATCGGCGGCCGCGCGCTTCTGCGATTCGTCGCGCCCGAAATGCGCTCTCGAGAGAGGGAAAAATTTTCAGCTCCGTTCCGTGTGTACACGGAGGACCAATTTGTCGCACACGCGCGAATTACCGAAACAATTAACGGCAAGTTATGTCGTGAAAGTACAATTTTCACGACGCGACGATCCCGAATACGCTGCGCGATGCAATTTTTGAGAATGATGACAGTTTGTAAAATTTATATAGTCAGCGGAGAGGCAATATCATAAAGTGTCGCGCGCCACGATGCACATTTGAAAGTTGGGCAAAATGCGATACGGACCGCCTGATTTATTTCATAAGCGGCAATGCGAGGCGCGCCGCGGCGGGCGCGACGCGCCATTGTATCGAGTTTTCAAACGAAGAAACTTGCTGCCGCTGGTAGTTCGATATAACGGCGCGAGAAGAACGGCGCTTCGGCGGGCGCGTTGGCGCAAGAAGGCCGGGGCACAAAGGAAAATGAATAATAGAAGGTGGCGCGGAGCATGTAGGACGCATATCGAGCGATAACAGCCGCCAACAGTGAGAGAAGCTTATCGTTTTGAAAGTAAAACAGCGCGCGCTGAATATTGAGGGGAATTTGAATCTCATTTGAATACATCAGCATGATTGGTAAATTATTTTCTCCCGTGTAAAGTTTATATACACGACGGTGTCTAGGAACAGCGTGCGAATAGCACCGGCGTCGTCTTGTATCAGTCCCTGTTAACACCGAGAAGCGCTTAACGCCGAAATCAAGTGCCACGGCTTTGCACAAGCGCACTTTACGTCATCGGCCTTGCGAGCGAGCTGGCGCACAAGGGTGATATTTTGCCAGGATCCGTTCGGATAGCGTTAAAAAAGTTTCATTCAACTGCACACGCTCAAGCGAGTGTCGTCTTCAATCAAAATTACATTCTCTAACGTTGAAGTATTTATCGGTGGAAATTGAAAATTTCAAAGACATAATGCGATACAAATTAGACTTCAAACCTCAATGTTTTTTACACGAAAATGTTCTATTGTGCAGTCCACACACCGCTCTGGTATTATTTCATACGTAAAAGCCAATAATAAGATTTACAAACGCAAAAACTGTATGCGACTCTGTGGGTAAATCAAACCACTCTAGCATTCCCTTCATAATCGACGATGCAACTTCAATAACCTACCTATGAGTGCAATCATTATTTTTTGGCCAATATGTAAGTTTACTTATTCTTGACATTTTTTAAATCTTAAGGGGATGCT